GCAAAATTCAGATAAAAGAATATGTGCATCTTAAGATTATATTGAGAAATTTAGATAATGTAGATAAAATATCTACAGCTACATCTGGAACGTAGTGAATATTCATTACTATTTATGATATTGAGCATTCTTATGTTTTATCTTATTATTTCCTATTGACAGGCCTCTAGATTTGCACATTTCAAGATTTTTAACATGGCATTCATGATTATATTTCCTTACTTGTCTACCCTAAGTTTCATATAAAGACAGTCTTTATGATTCTTTTTTTCTTTATTCCCATTTTCAGTTTATCACCAAGTCTTTATATTTGTGTTATGTTCTTATTTTTTCCTTTAACTCTCACTCACAGTAAATTTTACTCTGGGTGTCTATCTCATAGCTGAAGTATTGCAAAAGTATATTAATTAACATGATTAACACACATCTTTGCTTTCTCTATTCAATACTTTAAAATACATGCAATCAGAATCATTTTTCTAAAGCCCAAATATGATTAATTGGTATAACTAATTCTCCCTATGTGCTGTAGAAAACTATTTTTTAACTTTATGAACTGTATTCCATACTTGATACTTCCTTGAAACTCTTGATTTATCTCTCAGTTACCTGGAAGTTAATTGATTTTGGCTTTAGGTAAGAATGGTGAAGAGGAGAAAGAATACTTTCATGGGTTCTGACCACTGCAATTTGCCACAGGAGTAGTAGTGGTGTCTTAGAGCTTATACAGAAAACTGCTAGAACTTAAGCAGCGATGCACATGAATAGATGTTTGAGGACCAGAAGTGATGATAATGTTAATTCTGATGGATACTGACATTTCTACTTCTTAACACATCAGAACTATATAAGTGTTCCTGAATTATGATGAACCTGGATTGAGGGAGACAACACAGATATATAAAGATAATTCACTACAATGAGGTGGATAGAGTTAGGGAGAGAAAACACCAATATTAAGTTACATAGAAAATAAATACTTTTAAAAAGTATTTTTTCAGTTTGTAAATGGAGTTTTGTAACTGAAACATTAATCTTAATCCTTTTAATGACTCCCTTTTGCCCTCATTATGAAACTTAAACTTCTCAATATATAGAGATCTTTTAATATTTCAAGTATCAGTCTATGCAATTTACCACCTTTCTTATTCTGTTCTACTAGGATATTTGCACTGGCTGCTAGGAAGAGATGGTACATCTTAGTGGTAAAAAACACAGTCTATAGAATCAGGCCACTGGTGTCATCTCTCCTGATTCTATTTGCTTCACTTTATCTACTGCAGATGTGGAGATTCTCATATGCTGGTCTTTTTGTCTCTATGATCTCTGTGCATGCAGTCTCTAACCTCCTTAACCTTTTTTTAAGTTTTGGTTTAGGTATGAATTCCACCAGGAATCTATCTAAAACTTTTTAAGATAGAAGTAGTTTTTCCTCTTACTATTCCCACCATAGGCTATGACTATTCTCATTACTGCTTTTATGACTGAATTGTTAAACAGTGTTGACAAATTTTACTTTGACATTATTGTGTCCCCAAGCAGCAAGCTTATCAATAGGGATGTTAAATGTTCTTTAACAGTTTGAGGAAATAAAGAAATATTTGCCTAATTTTCTTTAAAATGCATTTTAAAGGTATTTTCTTTTAATTGCTTAGCAGGTCTTTAAAAGGTTTTTTAATTTTTATATAAGCCTATTGATAAAAATTAATTGATCTT